ACACCCTGAATTTTTTCCACATCCAAAGTAAGTGCAGCATTTGAGATGGGGATTGGTTAAGTCACTTTATCCCTGCAAATTGTATGATTTGCTCTTCAGCTTCATATCAATCAAAATTTTTATCACCTACCTCACTTTTTGTATCCTCAACTTAAAAGCTACTTTCAAGGTTTTATTTTAATTTGGGTTCCAGTAATCATGTTTTGCTGATATTTCCAAATTATCTTCCTCTGGGTAGAATGAAAAACATTAAACATTGCAAAGGCATCAGCATTTGTGAATGCCAGAAATAAAACTACCTTCTGGCTGCCTTTCTCACTAGTACCCACTGCTATCAGACCCAGGGCCATATGATCCTTACTCTTCCCATGTTTTTAAGGACCTTCAGGTCCAAAAAAGATTCTAATTTTGTGTTCTTCTAAGTCCTTTAACATCCATATATGCTTGGAAGCACGTGGAATTCAAAAATCACCCTAAACCGAACAGCTTGAAAACAGACATGCTTTATTTAGAGACAAATTCCACCTATGTTTTCAAAACAGGCAAAAAACCTATCCTTACTCCACATTTGGAGTCCTGTCTCCAAGCTTTCTATCTCTGAAACTCAAATTGCAGACAATTCACAGCATCACTGCTATCTGTACCACCCCCAAGCTAGCTATCTGCTAAAAGCAATTCCTTCCCTGTACTCTCCAGCTACAGATACATTTCAGAGATTTGCAAAAAAATCCTGCAAGAACACAAGCAACAAACACTTGATGTTCATGCACACTCCTCCTGTTAGAAATCAACACTACTAGAGAGCTTTTGTTTTGCAGACTGAAGTTTAAAAATTGTTCTTTAGCAAAGCCAGGTTTCCATGTGAAATGCTAATCAGGCCAATCAGAAAAAGCATGAACCTAGCTCACAACCACCACATTTGATGACAATTCATGACTTTATTTCTGAACAAAATTCATAACTGTCAAATCATGACAGCCCTGACCTGCTGTGAACTCTCCCCAATCTCTCTGAAATATTGGCAGCAAGATGTATACAGACAATGTACACTTGTATAACCAAGGTGCTCCTTAGTACAATTCAAAAGTGCTGTAGTTCTCAGAAAATTACATCAACGGCCAGTGGATTTCTAGTACAATTAATTATTAAAGTTTCATGCAACAAAATTAATTAATTGCATCTTCAAAACTTCTATTTTAACAGCAAGATGGAAGAAACTCTCCAAGCAATAGAAATCTGCATTCCACTGACTGTTAGTTAAGGATGTGGAAGAAGGGTTAATTTGAATCAGAAATAATCACTGTATTGCACTGGTCAGCAGTGGCTTAGAGGCCATGCCCTACTCTTCCAGTTCACTGAATGCAAATCCAAAGCCATGAGGGAGGCAGGAAGGAAGGCAGGCAAGAAGGCAGGAAGAACTGTCAAACAACTTATAAGAATTCTCAAAGAATGTAATGTAGCATTTCTTTTGGGAGTTTTGGAGTAGGGTATAATTAAAATATCCACAAAATATTGCTTCAAACACGGCTCTGACTCATTTTTAATTAAGAGTTTGAGTAACAAGTGCTTTGTACTACAGGCTGTTGGCAGAGAGGCAACAAAAATGCTTTCTGATTCTCTCTAAGGTGCATATTAAATTAGATATTAAATGATACATTTTCACCAGGTTTCCTAAACCCTTTTGTACTGCATGCTGGCCAAGCTATAAACAGATTTTTACTCAACTGAATATGAATATGTCAGGCACTGTAAGTGCGCTAAGAATATGATGAAGTTTCCTACTTAAAACTCTATTTTCATTTTGCATGTCTTGGAAAGTATCATAAACTTATGAAACAGAAGTACCTGTGGTGGATGCCTTAATTTTTACAACTAGATGGAGGAGTAGTATTTATGAAATTAACAGCTGCATGCTAAGCTTGATCCTATGGACTGGACAAAGCCAACCAGCAGCACACCAAAATGTTGAAACAATACTCAACATCACTCAACAGGAAGGTTCTTTAACCAAATTAATTCAAACTGATAAAGCTGTGACATGGATAAAGCTCCAAGTCCAAAGCTGTCAGAAATAAGACATTTTTAACATCTTTAAACATGATTTGGAAAAGGGAAAACAGCAATACAGTTAGCAAATCCTGCTAGACTGGATGGATTTTAAAACGTGGGGGAAAGGTTTTTGGAAGCTATAAATATATGTGCAAAAAAGATGAAAAAAGCAACCTTTAGATACATGCAATCCATCTGGAGAAAAAAAAAAAATCCAGAACTACAGCAGATGAGAAAGACAGAAGTGCAGAGATGTGGAGCAAGTCTGAAAAGCAAGAGTAGGAAAAAATAGTACAAAATTTTCAATGCACCAAAACAGCACCCCCCCGAAACTTGACCCCACCCTTGATGGTTTCCAACTGCATAAGTAAAGGCTGTTGTCCAAAAGAAATAGAAGAAAACTACCCTCTGTGGGCTTCTGGTAAAACTGTACTTATCACATTATGTACATTTAAACATATCCCAGATCAAGGGGGGGAAAAAAAGAAAAAAAAAAGAAAGGTTTTTTGGAGAGAATTCAAAAAACTAAAAAAAATGAAAGCTGGAAGATTAAATTACAAGAGAAGATTAAAGAATACAAAGCATTACTTCACTAAATGGTGACTAAGAGCAGGGGTACAAGTATTTGAAGACATGGAGATGAAGAAATATAAATGAAACATTTAGACAGTGAGCCTGCTGATTTAGCTGGCTACAGAAAAATGTCTCCAAAAGTAAGGGCTAGAAGCCATAGCAACTGGAGTTTAGAGCAAATGTAAAGGACAGATGAGAGGAAGACATGTGATTTTCCCTAATAGGACTTCTCTGTCTTAACTTATGATATGGTAAAAAGACTGTGGGAAGGGCTACTCCAGTTTCTGGCAGAAAAAAATATGCATTTCACTAGGATCTTAAAATAGCTGATAAAGAAACAGTACCAGGGCAAACTAGATTTTTAAAAGGATCTAACAGGATGCTACATCCGTGTACTTTGTCATCTTCACAACTTTCACCAACTGTACCTGTAAACCAAATTGTATTTTTGCATAAATACATTTGAATTTCTGTCTCTTGCTTTGGGAGGCTTATACCAGAATGGTAGCTCAGAACCAGGTCTGAAAAAGTGCTCACTGGTGCACCAAAGAACACCTTCATCATTTATATTCCCTTGCCTTATAATATGGAGCAGATGGTGACAATAAACAAAAATTTTAGATCAGTTGATAAAGTGACTCTGACTCATGAACTGTCTGAAAAGCAGACAGAATACAAAGGTGAATCAAGGAATTTCTCCCAGTGACAAGTGTCTGCACAGTGTCAGGTCACTAGAAAAATGCCACACTGGAATGCTTGTACACCGAGAAAACAGTGTATGGCCAAAAGTAATAATAATTAGAGAGGCCTTTAAAAAAAAAAAGAAAAATATTTTAGGAAAAAAAAAGACAGGAAAAAAAATATTTCTCATGGAATGAGTTACCTTATGGTAAAGTTATCCTTCAAAGTGAAAAAGTTTGAAGAATTATTTTTCATCTCCTAAAACAAGTCACTTGAACACAACACTGCCACAACTTGATTTATTTCACAGCTTTAATCTTGGAACCAGTCTCACTCCCATGCAGATTCTAAAGCTTCAATAAGGGATATGCCTAGGGTTAGGGTTCAGAAAACCACAAAGCCCAGAGCTCCAGGCACGCTGCAGCTGCAAAAATCATGCCAAAGGCAACACAAGAATGCCACAACATGACACATTTCACACCATTCTTCTGGAGACCAGCCACAGCCCATGGGTTATTTTACTCCTTCACCTCGGGTTAGGGTTATACCTAAGGTTAGGGTTCAGAAAACTACAAAGCCCTCAGGTCTAGGCATACTGCAGCTGCAAAGTCATGCCAAGGGGCACACAAAACTGCCACTACTTGATTCATGTCACACCTTTTATCTTGGAATCTGTCTTACTCCCATGTGGTGCCTAATGCCCCTGGGGTCAGGGTTCAGAAAACCACAAAACCCAAAGCTCCAGGCACCACTGCAGCTGCAAATGTCAGGCCCAGGGGCACACAAGACTGCCACAACATGGCTCCCTCCACTCCTTTCTTCTTGAGACCAGCCTCAGCACATGGCTTATTTTACCCCTTCACTTGGGGTTAGGGTTACGCCTCGGGTGAGTTCAGAAAACCACAAAGCCACATGGTCTAGAACTTGAATGCAAACCAAATTTCAGCTTTAGAAATTACTTAGTTCTGACTCCTTAACTCTCTTTGTGCATTATGAACAGGAGAACTATCACTGAACAGCTGTTGTGCTTCACTCATTAAGAAAGCAAGACACACATGTTCTCAACTCTGCCAGTTAGTGATAAGATTAAGGTTTTCCCTCAGATTCTAAGTGAGTCAGGGTGGATCATGGTTCAGCAGAAGAACATAAAGATAGTTCCATTGCCAAAATATGCTTACATATGCATTATGAACTAACTAATAAATAGCCAGCAAACTCTGTTTGGGAAAAGCATGGTCAACTTCAGTTTGCAGGTATGACACAAAGCTGGGCTCCTACCCTTCCTGAAACTGCTGGTGGCTGCTGTCCTAGAGGTCAGCTGCTTTTAGGAACGACAGAAAATGATCCTGAAGCCTCAGCTGATATGCTGCCTCAGCAAAGCCAACTGTAGTACCACAAACAAGATGCATATCACCCGAAAAAGTACAAAAGGCCTACCAGGTACTCTGAATGATGTCTAGCCCTAGGAGTGTATTCTACAACATGGAATATATTTGTTTGTCATCAAATTTGAAACGAGACAACTTTCACAGCTCTGTTGTGTTTACATTTTCTGTCACGCTTGCATACCTCTGCAATAAATTATTTCAGATGTTTATTAGTGGGTCTGGAGCACACTACCTCTTTGTTATCATAACCCAGCAGCTAACTACTAGGCTGGAGCCAAACACACGGAAACAGAATACACATATACTCACCCTCATAGAGGTTTCTCCACCATGGGGCTGTTGCAGCCTGAAAACTTGAGCAACCATGTGTTCTGTAGTGGGGTGCAACAGGATACGTCGGGAAGCCAGTCCCACCATAACATATCTGCCCATTGGAGACAGGCTCACAGAAATGGCATTAGGTCCTATGAAGAGAAGAGAAGAGGGGCTATTTCTCTCATAGGTTGACATCCTGCCCCACGTTTCATCCTCACAGCTTTTTCATTCCCTTCTAGCGTTCCCATAATGTATGCCATACTAATCTGATTCTTATAAGGGGTAAGGAATAAGGAGACTTGCACAAGTTACAAATTTTATAATACATTTCTTTGCTGCAGGTGTTCTGTCACTAAGACAATGAAGTCCTTTAAGGAATAAAAACTATTCTTTAGCAGCTCCCCCATACCAGCATCTTACTTGTCCAGACCATATCACAAGCCTCTCCCCAGCAGTACTGTTCTTAGGCTGGCTACATGGCTAGTCAAATGTTTCTTGTTGCTACAATTACTGATATTCAGGCTATTGCATTTCTTACTGAAGGCTGAAGTTCTGAGGTCCTCACACCCCCACCCACCCTGACTTCTTGCTGTATGCTTACCAAATCGCTTTGTGTAAAGCATCTCGCCCAAGTTGTGAGGTGCCAGAGAATACACAGCCAGTATTCCTTCATCAGGGAAGCCTCTCTGACTGCTGGGAATGAAGGCTGCCAGCAGCTGCCCATCGGCAGAGATATCACAGCTGGCATCATTGTAAATCTTGCAGTTTTGGACAAGCACATTCACAGAGGCTGCAAAGAAAGAAATGAATAGTGATTAAAGTACTAAGGTTGAACAGAATAAAGTAAGATTTAAACTTAATGTTGGACAATGGACAGTACACGCAAAAGGCACTCAAGACATTTAGCTTCCTCCAAAAGTTTATGAAATCTTAATACCCTGATTAATGTATAACTTGCTCCAAAACGGAGATAAGGCACCGCAATGAGCCCAGGAAATTAAATTTACTCACCTCCTGAAGCCTTCAGCCAAGAAATAGTAGCAATTGCACTTCATCAAACCCCTCCCTTTGTTAAGCATAACAGTATCCTTTGCAAAGGACAGCACAGTTTAAACAAGTCTCAAATCATGACACTGACAAACTCCAGCAGCGTTCTCATTAGAAACAGTACACCTTAATTCATTTCCCCTTCTCTCGTGGAGCGCCTAGTTCCCGCTCTCCTCATCTCCAATAAACAGGAGATGAGTGAAAAACTCCTCCTTGCAGATACAGACATTCATTTCTGACAGCTGATTTCTACACTCATCTTGGATAAAGTCAGTGAGAAAGGGCAGAGACTTCTCCAGCTAGTCCTCCATTTAATTACTCCAGTATTTGAGACAGTCACGCATATCAGTGAAATAACTGTTCAGCAGACCAGTGAGCAACAATCCACAAAACAATAATTTTATTTTAATCCCTGCTGGTAAATTGCTAGGTGACCTCATCCAAGTGTTTCCCCCTTTGTATCTTGCATATGAAGACTACAAGCTCTAGTACAATGAGGTTCCAAAGCCTCTAAGCACCATCAGCTCAGTGATGCCTTGTTAAGACATGGCTGGAGTGATGTCCACTCTACCAGCCTAGCCTAAATGTGCTTCAGTTCTTCAGGAAGTTTGAAGCTCGATTTGCATACACTATTTTTGGGATAGAGAAATTTCACGTTCTAGTATTTTCCAACTCAAGAGTATAGAGATATTAAAAAAAAAACAGAAATAAAGCCCACATTTGCAATATAGAAAGTTTGCATGCTAGACAATGGAACCTCCCATGTCACATGTTTGAAGTTACAGCACCATGTAGAACACTGTCGATTTCTAGAGGCCAGAAAGAATCTTTTAAACCATCAGACTATGCCTAGCCCAGAAGAGGCCTTAACACATTCAGCTACAATTTGCAAGCAAGTTTACAAAGGCACTTCTTAGTCTAGATTCCTTATTAATTTAACAAGTAACAGTACCAAGAATGCTTTGTGCATATTTCTGAAAATCCAAATCAAATTAAGGCTGTAACTCAATATTTTGACAAATTCTACCCTTTGCTTTGACAACCTGTGTAGAAGAAAACTGCATCAGGGAACTCCTATGAGAAATTACTGACTGTTGTCTAGGCCACTTTTCAGCCAGAACAGTTTCCCAAACCAGTACACCCCACGGCTGCAGAGATGTTTGCAGCAGCACAAAAAGTAGTCATGAGAGGGAAGCAGATAGGACTGCCCTTCTTAAAGCATTGCTGATTTAAAGCATTCACTGAATCTCATCTTTAATTCTTCTGGTCTCAAAGATATTTCTCCTGGGAACTGCTTTCCTCTGTGGCTGAGTATCAACTTTAATCTACTGTTCCATTTAGGAACCTGATGAAAAAGAAGACGAGGATTAAAAGTGGACTATGTAATTACATTCTGTACCAAACCACCTACACCTGTACCCTAAATTTATTCCACTAATTTTTCAGTGTTGAAGCTGCTAAAAGCAGTAATTTTCAGCCTAGTATAAACAGAAAGGTCCTGAATAGAAAAAGGTAAATAACTGTAGTCACTATCAAGGCTGCAATACCAGTACAGGAAATACACATGGCCCTTAAAGAACAGGTGGTTCAAAAGATGACAAAATTCCTGAGTGCTTAGTCTGAAGCTAGTTGAACAGAAAGACAAGAGAATAAAAATTAAAGACTATAGTGTTGAATTAAAGAACATAGAATTAAAATGTGCCCTTTAAAAAAAAAAAATCTAGATTTTATTAAAGTACTCATTACATCACCACAAGAGAAGATGGGCATCAACACAAGAACTGCAAAAGGTGCTGTGAGCCAGCTAAAGGGTATATGACAACAGGCTGCACCATCATAACCCCAGTCAAACTGGGAGGATTCCTACTGAGTGACTCATTCCAAAGGCAGTCCTATTTATTAGCTTTATCAGTGGGCTAGGCACACAGTGGAGCTGGTTGATGAATCCTCTTCATGAAGTTGGGTAACTTCATTAACAGAGCATGACCAAACCACACAGTGAACTGAGTACACAGAGACATAACAGAAGGGAAATGAAAGAACTCTAGGTTATGTTGACATTTATAAACTTCTGCTTCACTCAGGAACTGGAAAACATGAGAGAATCAACTTTGGTTATTGTGGCAAAAACTGAGCCATCACTCAGTCATAACAGTGAAAGTGACAGCAATCTTAAAGTGCACTAGGGAGCACAATTCCAGCAGAAATATCAGTGCTGATACACAGCCCTGTGCTGAGATCACATGCAGGACCCCTGGGCACAGTTTGGGCCAGCCATGTTCAAGAGCAATGAAACCCTAAAATGATAACATGTCCAGCAGAGAAGATGACTGGGGAAAATTAAACTTGATTTTAATGTTCAAACAAACAAAAACACCAACACCAACCCTCCCAAAAATAAGGGGGGGGGGGGAAGGAAATGGAATTGTGTACTGTGTTTTCAAAAACTACAGAGAGTAAGTTCCAGAAAGACACCTGTTTTCTACAAATAATGTTGAAAACTGATCATTACCCAGGTAAGTGAGTAAAAGAAGCATTGAATTTGCAGATTAAAAGGTTTCAACAAAAAATAGCAAGATTTCTAGAACAGTCTTTTCAATAGACACAAAAGGAGCAAAGAATTTAACCAAATAGAAGACGAAATACTAGGAACTACAGTGTGTGCTTGCCTATTTGCATAAGGGGTCCTTTCTCATCAATTCCTTTGTAGTGGTACTCTAATCAGCAGTGATCTAAAAAATTGGGAGAAACAAATGGGGGAATTGGAACATACTAAAAAGGTGAGTATTGGGACTCTCACAGACACAAGACTTTCTTAAAAGAGAGCCAAGCAAGAAGACAACAAATAGAGCAAATAAACATAGCACACATGCAGAGCATTTGCTAGAGATACAACTATGAGACATTCCCACCACTGACTCTGAAAAAAAAAAATAAAAATAAAGTCCAGTTCGTTTTTGGGGGGGTTTAAGAACTGTTCTCTTATTCCTATTCTGCAAGATACAAAAGTTTGTCCTGAACCTCTGGGACCTGGTTGCAGTTTCCATGAGATAGCCATGGCTTCTCAATATTCTTAATTACTGTCATTTGATGTTCAATATTAGAAGTCACAAGATTATAGACTTGCTTCCTCAGAGCACAGGTATGGGTATCATTAAATCATAGGATGGTTTGAGTTGGAAGGGACCTTTAAGATTACATAGTTTCAACCCTCCTGCCACAGGCAGGGACACCTTTGACGACATCAGGTTGCTCAGGGCCCCATCACACATGGCCCTTGAACATTTCCAGGGATGGGGCATCCACAGCTTCTCTGGGCAACTTGTTTCAGTGTCTCATCATCCTCCAAGCAAAGAATTTTCTCCTAATATCCAACCTAAATCTTCTCTCTTTTAGTCAAAATCATTCTCCCTTGTCCTATCACTATCTGCCCAAGCAAAAAGTTCCTCTTCACTTTTTTTCCTAAGGTCCATTTAAGTATGGAAAGACTGCCTGGAGCCTTCTCCAGGTCAAACAAAACCAGCTCTCTCAGCCTGTCTTCATAATAGATGGTCTCTAGCCTTCTGATCATCTTCAAGGACCTCCTGTGGACTTGCTCCAGAGGGTCCAGGGATAGATCCTAAGAAGAACCTATTTAGCCCAGGGACCCTTCTGTACTAATGAACTCTTGCTTTTCAAAGAGGTACAAGAAGTATTAGAGAGGACAGATACTGATTTCTCTGGAACTACTGAAAAATTGAAGTCTATAGAATCCATGTTTCTTCTCAGCTTTTGAAGTTTGTTTTTGTTTTTTAATCCAATGCAAATTCATAAGAGAAAATCTCACATTTTTATTTTTGCAAGGCAAGAAGTGTTTGTATTTTTTCTGTACCATTTACAGATTTGGGGATATTGCCATGTTTTGTACATACCCTCACAGTTCCATGACTATTTTTTTCCAAATCCTCTTCCTCATCTAGGATTTACTGTATGTCTTTTTATAACAATGTTGAGTTTGGATCACCAGTCACCTGGAGTCAATCATATAGCACATATTCACTCATCTTCTATTACAGGATTTCCCCACACACACACCTCCTCCTTTTCCAGCACAGCACAGAGATTTTTGGTGAGCAGTCCACAATAAAGATCAACATGAAAGGATATCATCTTGTTTTTAAAGTTTGTTGCATATGTTGAATGTCTCTTAGCAAAACATAATACATGAGCCCTCCTGCCAAAAGAGAGCTATCTTTTAATCTTGATGTGTGCTGGGAAAATAAAACATTACAGATGCAAAGTTGTGCTTGACAGGAAAGAGTGCCATTTATTTCAGTCTTTCATTACCTGATTCACACTGGCATTATGGTTCTCTGCTTTGCCCTCATTTAGGAAGGATGAGGGCAACCAGAAAAGGTCTAAATGTGACAGGTGGAAATCTCAGCAAGGTTTCATTTTAAGGACATTTACATTTCATTTACAAGGTTCTCAAGGGATGAGAAAGATAAACATACCCATGCATTTGACAAAGTCAGAGGCTATTTGATTTCTTTGAGCCTGAGGCCGGATCTATGAAGATGAAGCCAATAAAGAAGATTTTAGGGGGAAAATTACTGCTATTTTTGGAAAACTACTTGCAAGAAGACTGCCCTTTCATCTCCTGTTTTCTTTTGTCGTTAATGCAACCACAGAGCTGACAGAACAGATCAAAAGAAACATCAGAGAACAAATTAATCAAGCTGTTGTGCCAACTTGGACATTAATTATGCTTGAAGCTGGGGAAGGCCTGGAATGCCAGCAGCAATAACACTGTTTGCCAAAGGAAAACTCTGCTGGACACACCAGCAGCTCCTAGACACCCTTAGAGATGACATTCTCTTAACAGCTGCTCCTATTTAAAATTTTGTTTAATTTTTTTTTTCTTCTAAGTTACCCTGCACTCCATTGTGGATCAGTAAGTATTGATCAAATCACCTTCCTCAAGATCCAAGCAGTGTTAGAACAGGACAGATTTCTGATTCCTAAATTTCTTGCTAGAAATTGGCAAGAAACTGAAATTATGAGCATTGAGTAGCATGAGAGAAACTACATTCAAAAAATATAAACAAGAGAGAAAGTCTTCAAATATTTTACTGTGAAAAGCCTATATTCTACACTGTTTTCAATACTTAGTTGCAGGAATTTTAAGGATATGCAACACTCACTAGAAGAATATTAAATAAATGCAGAAATAGCATTGTCTCTGCTGTCAGATAAATTCTCCGCCCCAATGCTGGTATGACTGACAATTTCAATATAAGACCGGGTCATGTTTATTTCAGAGCTATTAAAAGCAAAACTGGCAAAAGGAGAGAAGAAATCTGAAGCTATCTTTTTCCATTTTGCAATTAACAGAGAAAGACAGGGCTGAGACAATTCCACAAGTCCCTGCACAGCCATTCTCCCAGGACTGCCAGGATCAGCTTTTGTGTGCTCTTGCTGGACTGAGCCTCAGTGAGGTTGCTGCTGCAGAGCCACATCCTGAGCCCAAGGCTTCCAAGGGTGCTGGGGCCCAGCCCTGAGATCACAGGGCTGCACCAATCACGCTGCTGTCACTTACTCAGACGCATCCGCTCCACTGGAAAACATCCTACTTCCAAACTATCTTTTCTTTGTTTAATTGTTACAGGAAGAAGAGCTGCTCAGAGATGGAGGTTGGCCACAGTCATTGCTTTGATGGAGAGAGGAGCTGGCAGGCAGTCCCAAACTTCAGCTGCATCATTTCATCTGCCTGAACTCCTAAACCACTTGTGGCTTAAGCCAGTCCCAGGAGATACAATAGCCCCCTCTGTGTAAGCAGATTATCTCATAGGACCATCTCTGATTTATAGGAAATAATGGGAGGAAAAAGAGGAGCTACTGAGGTCATATGCTTTACTGGGAAAACAGTTTATTTCCAATATCATGAAGAATCACAAAAAACTCATCCAACACACCATTCCACTATTACTCATTTGAGAATACAAGACTCACAAACATTCTGAGTTGGAAGGGACCCACAAGGATCATCAAGCCCAACTCTTAAGTGAATGGCTCATATGGGGATTGAATCCACATCACTGATGTTCTTAGCATCATGCTCTACTATCTCTAAGTCGTGCACCTTGCCAAACTTGCAGCCCTCCTTTGTTCTGTGTCTAGGCAAGCGTGGCAAATACCTGGTTTAGTATAAGCACAGCTGCTACATCTTCATACATCCCTGCTACACCCTGGCAGAAAGAGATAAGGTTAACAGACTAGAAATGCCAGGATTGAGCTTGGCATATAAAAGAATAAAAAAAAATGAACATTTCCAAATGGTCCTAAGACAAAATGGGCAAGCACAGCATAGGGAGTCAGAAGGGCTGGGCATGGAGTTCTAGCTGGAATGTGCCCACAAGAAGGGCACAATGACAACAGAAACAATACCCAATTTCCAGCTAATTGGAAGCTTTTTCAGAATAAAAGCATCCTGGTAGGTGAAAGGGAGAAGATTGAAACACTGATGTACTGAGCAGCAGATGGTTCTTAATTTCTATGGGATTTTATAAATTATAAACAAACATCTTATGTTGTTGGTTTTTTTTTTTTTTTTAATTAACAGCCTTCTCCTCAGCAGCCAGATGAGGCAAAAAAATAAACTATGAGCAGCTGAAACACTCTTCAACCACTCTACAACTTGCAGAGAAGTCCAAAGAATTTAAGTTTCTTCCCCCTCTGACTTCATCCTTATTCTGTTCCAGAATCTGGCAGGACCTCCAGAAGTATTGCCAGCATGTGGCAAAACCTTGCCTTCAGTACTGATCCTTAGGGAAAACTGGGAGGGAACATGGTGCAGATGGGTGATCCAACCTATTCAAAGGGATCTTCCAAGCACAGAGCACTGCACCCAGTCTGTAAATTGGGGGAGTTTGCCAGAAGGAGCCAATCACTGTTTGGGAATGGGATGGGCATTGGTCAGTGGGTGGTGAGTTGTGCATCACTTGTGTTTCTTGGGTTTTATTCCCTGCCCCGCTTCCCCTCTCTCTCCTCTCCCTTCTCCTCACCCCCTCTTTTCATTAATACTACTGCTATTGTTATCATTGACTTTATTTCAATTATTAAGTTGTTTTTATTTCAACCCTCGAGTTTTACCTTTTTCTGCTTGTCCTCCCTATCCTGAGGGGCCAGGAAAGAAGTGACTAAGTGGCTGCATGGGGCTAAACCATGACAGCCAGACTGGATGGAGCTTTGAGCAACCTGATCTATTGAAAGATGTTTCAGTTCACAGAAGGGGAGGTGAACAAGATAGTGTTTAAAACTCCATTCCAGACAAAACTATTCTTGGATTCTGTGATTTGGATTCTCTGCATCTCTCCTACTGCAGTGTCACCATACATTCTCCTTTTGTGGGCTCTTTAAGCAGCAGGACACTACCCCATAGAGACATATATTGTCACATATGCAAGTTCTGGAAAGGCAGAACACAGAGCTGGGACTGTGAGAATTTTTCTCAATTCATTTTAGTGAACACCTGTGAATGCAGAAGTCTTTCTGAAAACAGAATCCCTGTTCTCCCTAAAAAAGTCAGTCCCTTAAACTAGAACTCAATCTCCTTTAGCTGAGGAATCAAGCAGTGAGTTTTACATATGCACAGAAATGGCCTAAGTTAAAAATCACTCACACAAAGAAACATTCATGAATATCTACCTCCTATCTTCATCCCAGGCTGCCACAAACATTTCTGCAGCTGTGCAACAAGCAATATCATGATAGCATTCTGGGTTAAAAATAGCCTTTCTAGTCAAGTTACTTTTAGCCCTGAAAATGTCATTCTTTGATCACCTGACCACAAGTATCAAACATTCTTCTGCCTGCATAAGGAAGTCTTTTCCAACGTGAGAGCTAGCTCATGCCATGGAACACATGTGAAACTATGGTTTAATTTTCACAAAATGAAAGAGAAAATAAATGAAATCAGCAATATTGCTCAGATTCCTGATTTAAAAATAGCTTTTGTCTGAGAAACAGGACAAATCACTGCTTTTGCAAATGACTATAAGGTACATCTCCTTCCCTGGGTTTGCAACACTATAGTAAGCAACAGACTAGGGTCCTGATTCCCAAAACGTATTGCAGCACTTTTGCACTCACTGATGCCAGTAACTTAAGAGAAATCAGTCACAGTTCATTAGCAAGTTCTAATTTAAAAGCATAAAGACAATATTTCTCTAGAAACTTGTTAGTAAGAGAATGCAGACATTGAATACAGAATTCTAAGAGAATGGCATATACCCACAAAAAGGCTCACAAAAAACAAGCTCTAATTACACATGCATTTGCTGATTGCATGAATGAACAAGATAGACAGAGTGGGAATAGCCCTACAAGCTTTTAGTCAACCTCCTCAGAAGACAAGGCATTTTACAGTTCTCAATGCAACATGACAAATAAGAGCTGCAGCATACAGCTAGGTTCTAAAGCTTACTCTAGCTCTGGTTAGCAAAGTCTTAAAATAAGACTTAAAATAAGACTGGTGTCTTTTCCAACTTACCATTGCTGATTTCAGGCAGATCAAACTTAGTGAAGTCCCACCACTGGAGCCGGTAGGTGGTGTTGGCAATGTTGCTGGCCACAGCTGACTGTCCATCCCCAATCACAGCACCTTCAGAAAAGGGTGATATAATTAGCAACTTAACTTCTACAAGAATAACCAGAAAAAAAATCTGGGCAGGCAAAACCATAGAAAACCTTTCAAAATCCAATTCTCAAAACTCTAGATTTTTGAAGAAACCTTATTTACAGAAATGGCAGCACGTCCTCAATAAGCCACAGAGTACAGGAAATTAACAGGAAAGCATCTCCCTGCACCACATTTCTGAAAGAAAATAAAGCTGATAAGAGATAAGACTTGCCCAGAAACACAAGGCAGAAATCCTAATCAATTAATTTGGTGCAAATGCATTCTACTTATCAACAGCAGTGAAGCTGTAGTTTCACAGACCCAGAATTGTCTACTACAGCTATGAAGGCAGATCAGAATACAAACTGAGGGAAAGCAATGCCCTGGCAAATTACACACATTTGTGGATATAATCACTGCTCCTACTGTAAACTTCACTCAGAAGATACAGGTTGCTCACAGTATTTGTGACACAGTAAGAGTTGTAACAAAATACTGGCCTGGAAGACCTAGGAGCTGGCCCTTTGCCACTTTGTGTGGCCCAGCCTACAGCAGGCAAGGGCTGCTCTGGCTCCAGACAAACACCATGACCCTTGCTACCTGCCCCAGGATTTGGGCAGCAGACCAAAATCAGAAGGCTAAGCACAATTCTTCAGAAACTATCATAAAGAACCTATTTTTCTTGGCACAAAGGAACAGGCACTGCTTACTCAAGTCAGCACATACATTTGAGAAAGCTGAGATGCATTAAATGGGCTTCCCAGGGAGACAAACAGAGACAAGAGACAGTTCATCCATAATAGTACTACAATCAAAAATCTCACGGTATTTGCAGTCTCTAAGGCTTCATGGACAGGCAGCCCATGTACTACACACACCTCCTGGCAACCAGGGAAATTCAGCATAATAGAATTTGATATGGGAGAGCAAAGCAAGATCACTCCCAAGCACAAATGACTAAAAGCAAAGCCTCCAGTGTCTACACAGTCTGAATTTCAGCATCTCTGCACTGACTCCAGTGGGAAGTACACAGCAAAGTCAGTGCCTTCACTCTCCCAGAAAGGCTGGCTCAGGACCTTGCTGCCACAGCAGCAGTAATAGAAGAGAAATCACTTTGACAACTGAGTCAGACACCCGTGCAGAGTTAAGAGCTTGCTAACTGCTAGTAAATTAAACTGGTGTGGAGAAAGATGGAGAGAGTAGGGTGGCTGGATAGTTACTTTTCTTATCAAATCCCAAAAGACCACTCAGGCATGGGTAAAGTACAAAAGAAAGGAACCCAAAGTGCCTGAACACACAAACACACAAACAGTTTTTTTGCTTTCTCAGCAAAAGAAAGAACAAGGTGGGCAGGAAAAAGTAAGTAAGCAAATTCTAAACTGGTGCTGATAAATAAATACACCAAGAAAGATGCTTGAGTCCTGATTTTTGGTTCTAGAAAAAGCTCAGAAATATACCAAGAACAAGAGTTCTGAGCAGACAGCTTTACATTGTGCACTCAGCTCTGTCAGGCCTCCAGCAATCAACCAACCTCCACTGTACATCTGCTCCATCTCTGTACCTGCCTCTGTCAGACGTGCATGGATCACTTGGGAGAGCAGAATTAAAAACATTTCCATTGCTGTAACATATGCCCAAGGCCTTGTTCTCTATAGCCCTCAAAACAAAGGGCTCCTCTAAACAGAAGATATGCACTGGAGAAAGCAGAGTCAATGCATTAATGAAATTACACTTTGCAACCAGAAGGACAATTCAATTTTATGTTGCTTCATCTTTAAAAGTCTTCTCACTGCAAGCCTGGATTTGGTACACAAAGGCAGCTCTTCTGCTGTCTTGCCTTCAGTTCTCAGGAAGGGAAGAGAAAAACAGGCACTCTTAGATATGTGAAGCAGTGGGACTTCCTGCAGGGAAACAGTAACTAACATCACCAGCAAAGTAGCAGCTGCCTTATAGGACTGAGTCAGAAAAGGAAAACACTCTGTAAAAACAGGCAACAGAAGTTCTACTGAGGGCACATAATTCCAGAATATCGATCTTATCACAGACGACTATTACAAAGTTACATCATCTGTTTTGCAGTGAGAGCAACCTTCATAGGTGTAACAAGCAATATATAAAATGGAGAAGAACATACCTTAGGAAAACAATTGTGCTCTCCCTCTACATCAGAGAAGCTTAGCAAAATCACTAGCTGCTCCACAAACAGTAAGTTCATCTGGCTCATACACTTGCTACACCTACTGCTAAAAGTACCATAAAAAGCAGCTGGCAAGCAGATTTGATTTTTTTCTGTAAAATTTCTCATCTTCGCATCCCTTTTCCTGTAACCCTCAGCTTAGTTATGGCGTTCATTTCAACCTTGCATCCTCTTCACCTCCAAAAGGCAGCCACATCATATGCAGAGAAATTAACCATGGAAAAAAAGCAGTACTGCCCCATCTACAGGAGAGCCCCACACAAATTTCAGAGCCAGCACAAGCTATTGAGTAATGCTAATGCTTCAGGTAACAGATATCTTTATCAAAAAGATTAGGATACAGGCAACACAGCTCTTCGTGTGAAAGGTGCATCTTCAGAAAAATTTGGCCAATTTTTCAAAGGCTTCAAACCAGTGTAACTAACACTAATCAGAAATCCATGATCTACATCTTTTATTAAGTAATTATCTCTACTTATACTAATTATGTAATTGAGGAGTGCAATTATTAAATTATATCTATATACATATAACGAAGTGGAATATCATTTGTATCACAAGTCCTGCCAGATGCCTCCCACATGCACGCATGCACTGTCCTACAGTAAAGATGATTAAAAGCATGGAAACATTTCAGACAATGAATGAAGGGAGGAAAACACCCCCTAGCACAGAAATATGCTATCATAACCTGTGTTGTCCTCTTTGGTTTATGGAAAACATTTTAGACCACGGTTGGAAGACTTAGGAAAGTGAAAATCCTCACTACAGAGCTTTTGTTCACAATGAAGCACGAGAACTCATTCTCAGCTGGCTTTGCCCAGTCAGGGTTTCAGTCTGGATGAGAGCAGAAGGTGCTGTTGCTTGTCAAGCTGTAGTATATGTAACCTGGAGGCAAACAACACACTTCAGCTTCTCAAATTTGGGCAGCAACAGATCAGCTCTTACAAGCAGCTGTTCTCACCAAGCACCTGACAGTCCTGATTCCTGGGTCTTCCACTGCTTGATGGGATCACAAGAGACTGCAGTGAGTACCCAGGGGTCTCAAGCTTGTCATCCTCACTAACAAAACGACCTTTTTCTGCAGAGATGATGTAGATTTCAAAATGCTGAAATCCAAAGTGAGGGCCAATTGAAATGCAGTGAACGTAGGTTTGATTGGCAGCTTTCCTGCGTCTGTCTATCACTGCGTAATAAACACTGCATGATGGCAGAAATGAAGATAAATGCTTTCAGCAGCCCCCCTTTTTCCCTCCACCACCCTGAACTCCATCCACCCCCACTCAGCACATGACAAAAGAGTTTAAAGGGAGGGGGGAAGAAAGTCTTAACAAAGACTTAAATAAAAAAATCCTCAAATCTTTTCTTATAGGCCACCTACACGTGACAGATATTTATCCATCAGTCTCAACCTCCTCAGAAGATCCAATGTATCTTGGCATATGGAGAAATGAACCTTTGCCAGTCAACTATTGCTCATTTATGAATCAAGCCATGCAAGCCAATGCCTGAGTTTAGACTGAGAGGGGGGAAAAGGGGTACAAAACCAGTTCCCTTGGCACTCCAGCACTCCCTCAGTGAAAAGCAGGCTAACTTCAGACTACTACTATCAAACTCTAAGAACAACAACTAATACTCTAGAGCTACACAGGCTTTGGGATACGTGTTCTGGAAACATGAAACATCTACATAGCATGGGAATTTCTCTTCCATGTATTTAACAGAAACCAGATTTCAAATTTTTTTCTAGGCTGGATCCTTTACCCTTAATTTGTTCGTATCTAGTAAGTCCTCTTGTAGTAAGAGAAAAATTTATTATGATGCTTATAGATAAGCTTGAGGAAGTTGGAGAATCCTCTTAGCTAATTTGTGACTCAGTTTGAGGGAGTGATTAGGCCCTGGCATAAAATTCCCCCTAGATTAGTATTTGCATCTCTAAGCAGGAGTACCTTTGAAAAGTAATTACCTCTTTATGAAACCATTTGTAACTGTAGCTGATACTGAGATTAATCTATACTTGTAGAAAGGATCTATCTGAATTGATGGGTTTTACATTTACTTGTTCTAGGTTTACTACAGTCCAGGCTCCAGGAAGTCCAAAACACAGAACAAATCCATTTGACAAACCAAGGATAAGACTGTGCTGCAAAAATATACCAGATTCTCTCAACCAGTTTTGAAACAATTTGAATTCAGGCAAAATGATTACTGAAGTCTAGTGGAGATGCAGCAGGTACTTACACGTTTCCAACCCTGAAGTATTTTATGGGATAGCCTAGTTTGGGGGACAGCCTTTGATGACAGTAAATATATTAAATTCTGAATGTGAATTTGACAAGTTCCAGCAAACCTTTGTTCCAGGCTACCTCAAAGGCACTGCCTTTGAAGTGCATGAGCTAACTAACTAAAACTGGGCTAATGCTGTAGAAACAGTATGCAGAGCAACCTGCTATTTTCAACAATTTCTTTTGCTTGTTCTTCAATGTATAAGCACATTAGGAAATGGGCAAAATTATTTTCATGAATGGATGTACAATATGCTACTAAGAGTAGTTCAGCATATGCTAAGCACTGAAAGGATCTTAGATTCAACGTTAATGGAGAAAGCCTCTAAGAGGTCTATCTGAAGGCTGAACCTTCAAAAGGCTATTATTTTTTCTTTATTCCAGATGTATAAAATAAGAAGAAATGTAATTCCCCATTCATGTTCATTCCTGCTGCAAAATTTCCTTTTAAAAGGGGCAATACTTAGCATGCTGAGTTCCACAGACCTATCAGCTATGGG